TCCTGAAAACAAGAATGACAAGGTTCATTAGAAGTTTGAGTCCCGGCCGCCACAAACTGGTGTCAGAAGTGGGATTATGATCAGTTTGTCGAAGGACAAGATAAGATTAATCCATATCGGATAGTTAGTTTTCGTAACTGGACGCTTAGAGAGAGGAAATGTCAAAAAGTTACAAAACTCTTGAAAAGGTAAACAAGATCGTTCTGATAGGCGACGTTGTTGACATTGACTCTTACAAAGTACAACTGTGTTCTAAACAAATAGCGTAATGTGATGGCACTAGCTTAAGATGTTTTACGAATGCAATACATGTTATAATGCTCAAAACAACATGCTACGATCTTTGCTAGATTTCTTACCAAAACAGATTTCAAAACACTGTATTACGTGAAAACGAGGTTGCCAATAATACTCGTATATATAGCTGCAAAACTAATTACACGATAATTATAATAATAATTTCTGCACTGCCATAAACTATCAAAAATACAGATGGGAAATACCTAACAGATATGTCATTATGCCTAATCATTTACAAGCTTTTATAACTTATGAATTTTGCAATTAAAATGCAGGAGTATTATCTAAATCTTCGTGGTGGCCATCACAATACGATGATATACTGCTAAGGTGGCTTGACGTCATTACTGCAGGCGCATTTGAGTGATTCTATTTCTTTTACTTCCATTAATAATGTGATACTCCATTTTAACAATATTCCTGACAGACAGACTGACTGACTGAGTATGGTTTTACGCCGTTTTTAACAATATTCCAGCAATATCACGGCGGGGGACACCAGAAATGGTCTTCACAAATTGTACCCATGTGGGGAATCGAACCCGGGCCTTCGGTGTGAGGAGCGAACGCTTTAACCACTAGGCTACCTCACCGCCCCTTCTGACACACAATGGTGGACACTAGGAATAAGCTTCACTCGTATAGTGAGTGAGTGAGTTGAATTTTAACGTCGCCTGTATTACTATTCCAGTTATATCACGGCATGTCAGCTTAATGTGGGAGAAAGGCCCACCATGATGGAGGTCTCAGACAAACCTAAAAACATGTATGGAACCTCAGACAACTGAGCCACCTGTTCTCGCACTGAACATCCGTGTGGGCAAACAAAACCCATGAGGTCTAAAACTACCTACAACAGCAGCTATGATACATCTGCAGTAATATTAATGATAACGGTAGAAAGCAAAATCTCTAGTGCGCCTAGATCATGGTTCTGTACAACACACATAAAGACAATCCTTCATGACTCAATTCATTGAAAATAATTCAGTAAGTGAAGCTGACCACAATCAAAATCCATGTATATTGTAAACATGCTGAAACCAAACAAAACTTTCTTATCTGACAGTATTAAACGATGTTATACACCAACGTATGAGTGAGTGAGTGAGTTAAGTATCACGCCGCACTCAGCAATATTCCAGCTATATGGCGGCAACCTATATTTCAATTATGTAAAATATAGTAAACCGACGGCGAAATTGTTACCACTTTATGAATGAATCTGTAAAATTGTGAAAACACAAGTTTAAACCAAATCAGAGCGAAACACATCATCCAAACAAAACCATGATCTATACAGAAAATGGAACACGTACATGTCATGAGTTTTTTCGAAGAAAACGAACAAAAAAGAGTGAAAAGCACGTGCAACAATGTGAGCAGGTCATGGATATCATACACTCCTCATAAAAGAAACACCAGGCAAAAAATATATGAAACGTATTTAAGTGTACATAAGTCCATTAAGCTTGAACATAGATGAAGGAAATTCGACAGACTGATGAACATATGTCATCGTCAGCATTAATTCAGTTCACTCACGTTCAGGTCAGTATACCTGGTTACACCACCATTGCAGCCGTCACTGCTCGACACCGCCTTAGAAAGATTGTACAAGTCGTCGGATGTTTGCTTGGGGAATTCTACGCCATTCCTCCTGCAACGCGTTGGCAAGTTCTGCATGTGTCTGAGAACGATGATGACGTTTACGGAAGCGTCGGTCAAGTTCGTCCCGTAGATGCTCGATCGGGTTCAGATCAGGCGATTTCGAAGTTTAGGTAAACTTACATCACTGTGACCAGTCATTACAAACAACTGAAAGTTAACTTGTGAATTTATTCACCAAATTTAAAACGTGAAATTTGTTAAACATATTGCCACAGTCACAACACAGCAACATTCCCACTTTGCCTGGGAAGGACATTGACGTTTGCATTGGTGAGATAGACACCTGTTACGGCGCAAAATGTTCGTGTCGACGTCGTTAGACACGTTGTTTCCCATCCCGTTCTTGCAGGAACGAAGTCAGATCGCGAAACGCGATTCAACGCTGAACCAAACGTGTCGCCAATTCCCCAGGTTTCATGCCTGTACCCCGTTGCACCATTGGACACGTCGTTCTCGGTGTAGTCGTGTCAGGACAGGTCCAACTTTTGGTCTATATGCTCGAATTCCCACTTCTCTTCACGATATCTGATGGTTTGGTCGGAAATGCTTCGAAGATCAGGCACCTGTCCTGCAGTGTCTGTTGCTGTAGCAAATCGGTGACGTAGGTGGAATACCCGCATGAATCGGTCCTGAGCAGGACTGGTCACTCTTGGTCTTCCCCTTCTGGGACAATCTTGGGTCGAATTGAAGACCTCAGACTGGGATGCCCTTGCTTCCAAACGTCCAATGGCAATATATTCTGGTCAGTAGCATTCATTTATCTTCGTTTACATCATAAATTTTGTAGTGAAATGATGAATTTGGTCTGGCCTTTTAAAGTCGATCTCTGCACTCGTGCAATACGTGGAAAACGTTTTCAGCATGCACTTTTCATGTGCCGTTTTCATTTATATGACAAACGTTTGCAAACACATTTTGTGATTTTGGATTAACGAGGTTTAAACATAGGATTTGCCTTCATGACGATTGCTGTCAAACTATATCGAAATGAACTGCTGAAAACGCCTGTGTGTCTATTTATTTATTTTATTTTCTAAAGTATCGATGGGAGCCACTCATGTCCACGTTGCTAGAACTTTGGGTAGCCCTGTTGCTGTAACTAACCTGATGAAATGTTACCGACCGACCGGACAGTCATCACACAGGCCAAGAACAGAGAGACCTTGGGTAACTAGATGGAGATCAGTACCTTGTGTACTTCATCGTCGGAGATTTAGATGTGATACACCGCTCTTGGATGTGTGTGCCCATTGTCCATTACCTTGAAAACTTGCTTGTGCTACCCCACCTCAATTCGGGAAATTGTCAGGCCAAGATCGGTAGCTTTGTGGTTGTCATTTTACATGTTTGTTTCGTTGAGATGTTGATTTTTTAAATATATTTTACATGCATCAATATTTTGTGCTTTTCAAACTAAATTGATTTAAAATTATGATTATGTATCTTTTTGTATTTTTGTTCGTCTTCATCGCATGTAACTCTGATACGTTTGTCATGTCAAGTGTACATCAGAAGTTATCATTAACCAGAGGCTGACATACTTCTTGTAAGTCAACCAGCGTATCGTGGCACTAGTTTCTGGGCATCCCGATCCCCCGGATGTACAAGATCGTGTGTCGCTGAGACGCCACTGTGTTTGAAGTTGTGTGACCTTCATGTCAGTTCAACAGGATTTAGTGTCATTAGAGCTGAAACAAGGCCACAAAACTACATATCTTGACTTTTGTCTAAATATAACCCATTTCTTCCAACGAACTTCACCGAAATTTCAATTTCTTTTATATACTAGGGCAAATATCGATGAATCCGTCAGTTATTTATATACCCGCCCGTCCGTCCATTTATTTATCTATTTGTTTATTCATTAGCTGCAACCGAACTTACTTTTTATTAAAAACAAAGGTGTAGCAGTGGTGCTATACGCAGCGCAAAATCTGGATTCGAACTTACGATAACGGGTTTCCACTTATCTGTCATTCGCGTACTGCAAACTAAGTAAGATACAAATTTGGGCGTTTGGTGTCAATATCATTTTGTTGCCACCGCCAGATGGACGTACAGTGACAAATTTACAAGCTATTGCTAACATGGAATAAGTCTGATACGGGTGAATAAAATCTTAGGCCGACTAGTGATTAATTCGCTTGTTGGATCGTTTATTTGTAGTTTTTATTCATTTTTTAAATTATTTTTAGACAGACCATTGTCTAATTTACGCATAGGGGGGTTGAAAATCATATGGGTCATGCTTTCAGTCCTGATTATATACAAAGTCCCTTATCAAATCTGATTATATTGAATGATTGTGTAGGGTTTTCTTTGGAGCCAAGCCTGACTTGCAAAACATGTAACTCACAAGATACTTTCACAGATTCATACGTCTACGCATCGTCGATCATCTCCAGGGTATACGTTACGATCACTCTCCACTATATAGTGTAGAGTGACCGCAACGTATAGTCTGGAGATTATCGACGATGACGTCTACGCGTCTTTTGCAAAGGGAGATAACTTCAGATTCCTTTCAGAGTTGGCTCCCTTTTAACAATTACCGCATAGGAAAAATAAGTTTTCTGTCTGTAGCATGTGCATTTTGGGAGAAATTCGGTTTATTGTTATCCGGAATGTTTCAGTCATTTGTTTAATATGTACTTTACAAAACAGACTTGTTTACCTGCGTCGCTAAGGTTACGGTTGCCAAGTTCAAGAGCGGCCATTACGAATCTTCGTTCCCGAAGCGTATCATTGCTATCACATCTCTGCACTTTTGAAAGTTTCTTCGACATATTTGAGTTTCTTCGCTTTCTTCTTACTGCAGTAAGGTAGTTAAGCTTATTTCCTGTACAGGTTGAGTTTTCTGTGGCTCAAATTGTCTCAGATGTACCTTAGTTAGTAATTTAAACATGAGAGATCATCCTTGACAACACATACATGACTCCACATTGTAACGACTAAATGACACAACAGTTTAAACTTTCACATGACATTTTATGTAATGTACGATAAGTACGATAAGGGACAGGCCAGCAGATCACGCTGGCTTGTGACCGTATCTGTGCACACGGGTATTTGAATTTACATGAGAGAAATATGAATGTAGGACCAAAACAGAATGGACTCCATAGAATGCAGTTTGATGGTCTCTGTCTTTATCAGTTGTAGTGGTAAAACATTAATAAATTCATACACAAATCTGACTAAAGTTGGGGCTCCTTTGTGCGTGCGATTTCGTTTGGTTGGGAGACTGTAAAGATCACTTCATACATGATCACACTTGCATGTATTCTATTTTACAGATTTCTCTTGTGAGACTTGAGTTTGGAGTTGAATACTCTAGTATAATCTTGAGTTGGAGTAAGAGAGATACACTGTGAAGGTAACTGACATGAACTGATTTACACACTTGTAGTAGACATTGTGATTTGTCCCTCTCATAACCTCACACATGCAGGAAATAACGTTCACATGAAGAAACACAAATGAAAAAAAAAATTAATTCAGTTTTAACTTGTTAATTGTACAGATGTTTCAAGACATGCCTCTCCGATTTTCTTGTAAATTGTACTTAGAGTTTTCAAAATATATCCCAAAACAGATAATAGGGAAATACACTAACATTCATTTGAAGTTCATAAACATATATAATAACATGTATGATGTTCTTCGCTATTCTTGTAACTTGTACTAAAATTTATAAAACTTATTCCCTAACACGCTTCAGAGCCACAAGATGTTGTGTCCCAACGAGAGTTGGGTGAGCCTGGATGACTTTCAGCCTCGCTGTACCTGTCTCTACCCCCACACAACTTGGACCGATGCAGCCATCCCCTCCAACACCACTAGGTCCATCAGCCCCACTAGCCCTACCCCTAGATCACCCATGTTTGGTAGTAACAGACCAGACAGCCCCATCAGCAAGTATCTAGAAAACCAGGACTCCTTCCTTTATCCAGAATGTCCCAGATTTAATTCATTTTTTGACACCAATGATGTAACATCAACGTTTTTATCAGTCAATCCAGATATCTGGTCTGTCAGCCCAAGTGACGAGTCTCTCCCAGCCAGTGCCAGCTCCAGCCTGACCAGCCTGAGCTCCACCAGCCTTACTGACCCCTTCCCCAGCTCCTCTACCCTTTTCCAGAATTCTGAGGAATTCTTCGATGACCTTCTTCCCTCCCCATCTTCCAGCACAAGCTGCTTCAACTATGGCCCCACACCTAGCAGATATCTGGAATCAGATATGTCAGGTTTGCCAGATGACATGAACCTCTCAGCTACAGTTCACAAAGACATCTGGTTATATAACACATATGACCTTTTTCAGGATGGACCACTACTGTCCTCAAGCTCCATGTCTCTTCCTATCAGCCCAGTGAGCAGCTTCACCAACCTGAGTGAGTGCAATGTGTCCTGCAGTCTGACCAGCCTGTCCCACCAAGGAGTGTCACTTCCAGTCCCCAGCTGGAGAACTGGACCCCTGAACAAGATGGTGGATAGGAAGAGAAAGAGAGATGAGGATGATGAGGTGGAGGTGAAGGTTTGTAAGAGGGCCAGGCTATAAGTATGGTAATCAGATTTACACTGTTAATGTATGTCTGAAGTATCTGTTTTACTAACATTAATTGATTACTTTTCTGTTTTCTATATTTGCTCTGAATGGATGTTTTTAATTTCCTTTATTCTAAATTGATACTGCAATATTTAGTCACACAACATCTTTTTGTCCTTCTAAGATCATTTAAATCCTCAAAATAGATGGATGCTTCCACTCAAATTAGGTTTGTGAATGTAAGTCACTACGACCTTAAAACCCATTTCTTATCACTGTCGTGAAATTGTGCTCTATTCAGTAATTACTTCTCTTCTTACTAGCTCTAATACCTGCCCCTACCAGCGGTAACATTTCTAGGCCCCCATTCCTGTTGCTTTCTATATGGTTAGTGGTCAGGTGTCACTAGATGGGGAGGTGGATAGGCTTGTAGTTTGTATACAGTGTACAAGGTGTTTAAGTCATGGTTAGTACAGGTGGTGTAGGTGTGGCTAGATGGGGAGGTGGAGGCCACTGTTTGGAGAGGCTTGTAGTTTGTATACAGGATGTAATGTTAAAGTCATGGTTAGTACAGGTGGTGTAGGTGTGGCTAGATGGGGAGGTGGAGGCCAATGTTTGGATAGGCTTGTAGTTTGTATACAGTGTACAAGATGTAATGTTAAAGTCATGGTTAGTACAGGTGGTGTAGGTGTGGCTAGATGGGGAGGTGGAGGCCACTGTTTGGATAGGCTTGTAGTTTGTATACAGTGTACAAGATGTAATGTTAAAGTCATGGTTAGTACAGGTGGTGTAGGTGTGGCTAGATGATGGGAGGTGGAGGCCACTGTTTGGATAGGCTTGTAGTTTGTATACAGTGTACAAGATGTAATGTTAAAAGTCATGGTTAGTACAGGTGGTGTAGGTGTGGCTAGATGGGGGAGGTGGAGGCCACAGTTTGGATAGGCTTGTAGTTTGTATACAGTGTACAAGATGTAATGTTAAAGTCATGGTTAGTACAGGTGGTGTAGGTGTGGCTAGATGGGAGGTGGAGGCCACAGTTTAGATAGGCTTGTAGTTTGTATACAGTGTACAAGATGTAATGTTAAAGTCATGGTTAGTACAGGTGGTGTAGGTGTGGCTAGATGGGGAGGTGGAGGCCAATGTTTGGATAGGCTTGTAGTTTGTATACAGTGTACAAGATGTAATGTTAAAGTCATGGTTAGTACAGGTGGTGTAGGTGTGGCTAGATGGGAGGTGGAGGCCACTGTTTGGATAGGCTTGTAGTTTGTATACAGTGTACAAGATGTAATGTTAAAGTCATGGTTAGTACAGGTGGTGTAGGTAGGTGTGGCTAGATGGGGAGGTGGAGGCCACTGTTTGGATAGGCTTGTAGTTTGTATACAGTGTACAAGATGTAATGTTAAAGTCATGGTTAGTACAGGTGGTGTAGGTGTGGCTAGATGGGGAGGTGGAGGCCACAGTTTAGATAGGCTTGTAGTTTGTATACAGTGTACAAGATGTAATGTTAAAGTCATGGTTAGTACAGGTGGTGTAGGTGTGGCTAGATGGGGAGGTGGAGGCCAATGTTTAGATAGGCTTGTAGTTTGTATACAGTGTACAAGATGTAATGTTAAAGTCATGGTTAGTACAGGTGGTGTAGGTGTGGCTAGATGGGGAGGTGGAGGCCACAGTTTAGATAGGCTTGTAGTTTGTATACAGTGTACAAGATGTAATGTTAAAGTCATGGTTAGTACAGGTGGTGTAGGTGTGGCTAGATGGGAGGTGGAGGCCACAGTTTAGATAGGCTTGTAGTTTGTATACAGTGTACAAGATGTAATGTTAAAGTCATGGTTAGTACAGGTGGTGTAGGTGTGGCTAGATGGGGAGGTGGAGGCCACAGTTTGGATAGGCTTGTAGTTTGTATACAGTGTACAAGATGTAATGTTAAAGTCATGGTTAGTACAGGTGGTGTAGGTGTGGCTAGATGGGGAGGTGGAGGCCACAGTTTAGATAGGCTTGTAGTTTGTATACAGTGTACAAGATGTAATGTTAAAGTCATGGTTAGTACAGGTGGTGTAGGTGTGGCTAGATGGGGAGGTGGAGGCCACTGTTTAGATAGGCTTGTAGTTTGTATACAGTGTACAAGATGTAATGTTAAAGTCATGGTTAGTACAGGTGGTGTAGGTGTGGCTAGATGGGGAGGTGGAGGCCACAGTTTAGATAGGCTTGTAGTTTGTATACAGTGTACAAGATGTAATGTTAAAGTCATGGTTAGTACAGGTGGTGTAGGTGTGGCTAGATGGGGAGGTGGAGGCCACAGTTTAGATAGGCTTGTAGATTGTATACTTGTAGTTTGTATAAACAGTGTACAAGATGTAATGTTAAAGTCATGGTTAGTACAGGTGGTGTAGGTGTGGCTAGATGGGGAGGTGGAGGCCACTGTTTGGATAGGCTTGTAGTTTGTATACAGTGTACAAGATGTAATGTTAAAGTCATGGTTAGTACAGGTGGTGTAGGTGTGGCTAGATGGGGAGGTGGAGGCCAATGTTTGGATAGGCTTGTAGTTTGTATACAGTGTACAAGATGTAATGTTAAAGTCATGGTTAGTACAGGTGGTGTAGGTGTGGCTAGATGGGGAGGTGGAGGCCACAGTTTAGATAGGCTTGTAGTTTGTATACAGTGTACAAGATGTAATGTTAAAGTCATGGTTAGTACAGGTGGTGTAGGTGTGGCTAGATGGGGAGGTGGAGGCCACAGTTTAGATAGGCTTGTAGTTTGTATACAGTGTACAAGATGTAATGTTAAAGTCATGGTTAGTACAGGTGGTGTAGGTGTGGCTAGATGGGGAGGTGGAGGCCACTGTTTGGATAGGCTTGTAGTTTGTATACAGTGTACAAGATGTAATGTTAAAGTCATGGTTAGTACAGGTGGTGTAGGTGTGGCTAGATGGGGAGGTGGAGGCCACAGTTTGGATAGGCTTGTAGTTTGTATACAGTGTACAAGATGTAATGTTAAAGTCATGGTTAGTACAGGTGGTGTAGGTGTGGCTAGATGGGGAGGTGGAGGCCACAGTTTAGATAGGCTTGTAGTTTGTATACAGTGTACAAGATGTAATGTTAAAGTCATGGTTAGTACAGGTGGTGTAGGTGTGGCTAGATGGGGAGGTGGAGGCCACTGTTTGGAGAGGCTTGTAGTTTGTATACAGTGTACAAGATGTAATGTTAAAGTCATGGTTAGTACAGGTGGTGTAGGTGTGGCTAGATGGGGAGGTGGAGGCCACTGTTTGGATAGGCTTGTAGTTTGTATACAGTGTACAAGATGTAATGTTAAAGTCATGGTTAGTACAGGTGGTGTAGGTGTGGCTAGAGGTGGAGGCCACAGTTTGGATAGGCTTGTAGTTTGTATACAGTGTACAAGATGTAATGTTAAAGTCATGGTTAGTACAGGTGGTGTAGGTGTGGCTAGAGGTGGAGGCCACAGTTTGGATAGGCTTGTAGTTTGTATACAGTGTACAAGATGTAATGTTAAAGTCATGGTTAGTACAGGTGGTGTAGGTGTGGCTAGATGGGGAGGTGGAGGCCACAGTTTAGATAGGCTTGTAGTTTGTATACAGTGTACAAGATGTAATGTTAAAGTCATGGTTAGTACAGGTGGTGTAGGTGTGGCTAGATGGGGAGGTGGAGGCCACTGTTTGGATAGGCTTGTAGTTTGTATACAGTGTACAAGATGTAATGTTAAAGTCATAGGTTAGTACAGGTGGTTAGTACAGGTGGTGTAGGTGTGGCTAGATGGGGAGGTGGAGGCCACAGTTTAGATAGGCTTGTAGTTTGTATACAGTGTACAAGATGTAATGTTAAAGTCATGGTTAGTACAGGTGGTGTAGGTGTGGCTAGATGGGGAGGTGGAGGCCACAGTTTAGATAGGCTTGTAGTTTGTATACAGTGTACAAGATGTAATGTTAAAGTCATGGTTAGTACAGGTGGTGTAGGTGTGGCTAGATGGGGAGGTGGAGGCCACTGTTTGGATAGGCTTGTAGTTTGTATACAGTGTACAAGATGTAATGTTAAAGTCATGGTTAGTACAGGTGGTGTAGGTGTGGCTAGATGGGGAGGTGGAGGCCACAGTTTGGATAGGCTTGTAGTTTGTATACAGTGTACAAGATGTAATGTTAAAGTCATGGTTAGGGTTGAGTCCGATTTCGCCTACAGAAAACATGTAGGTGAATAGGGAATAGAAAATGCACCCCTATTGAGAGAATGGACTTGACCTAGTGGAATTAAGGAAGGTCAGTTTCATAATGTATGTGTAAAAAGATAAGTATATTATTGTCTTTAAACGGAGTCAGCTTATAATCAGTGTTTACATAAACAATTGGCTTAAGGATTCTGGCTATGAAGATCAAAAGTAGCAGTGAAATACTTACAACTGTTTGTGATTATAAACAAATATTAATCATTTTGTTGCATATGAGTAAAAGGGATTGTGTACATAGTTTTAATTAGCTATTCAATATAAAATTAAAAGACCAAACTAAAACTAATTACTTTGTTTAAAGATGAGATAGGATGGTCTCATACTGATGTATAAAATGGGAAGTCAATAGGCCAGAAAGTCATTGAAAATGGCTAATCTTCAGCAAGCAGAGTTTGTCACGTCACAGAAGGGAGGAAGACAAATTTTACATGCAGGCCACAGGTAACGCCTGAATGTGGAGCGTCAGCTAGCTACACACTGGAAGTGTGTGATCCAGGGATGCAAAGGAAGATGCAGCACCATTGGAGGTCACATCTCATCCCTTACACCCCACTCTCATCCGCCAGTAGAGAATGAATATCAGGCCAGATTTATCAGCCGCCTCCGACAACGAGTACGAGAACAGATAGACCCAGTCCAGCAGATATACAATGATGAGATACAGCCTATGGAAGAAGGAGCTGCAGCAACTACATCATCTTTCAACAGTGTCAAGTGCGGACTTTACCGTCAGCGCTCCAAGGTTCTTCCTTCCATCCCAAAGACACTTGCTGAGGTTGAACTGGCGGACAAATGGACTGAGACAGCAGATGGCAGGCAGTTCCTGATGGTGGATGACGGCATAGATGACAGAGTTCTCCTGTTCACCACTATTGAGATGTTGGACATTATTGCTGAAGCAGAGACTTTGTATATGATGGAACTTTCTTTGCTTGTCCCAGTCTATGGCACCAGGTATATGTTATCCACAGTATGGAAGAAGGCAAGATGTACCCAATGGCGATTTCCTTTCTGCCAGACAAGACCAGAGTAACCTTCACAAACCTGAAGGACTTAGTTGCTACTACAGTGGAAGTGAACTTGTCACCTGGAAGGCTTCCATAATGGTCTGAAAAAACTTGTGAGAAAGCACCATCCGAACATTTATGAATTCATAACAGCTATCAAGAAGATTGAATCCACCAACAAGATCATTCGCCTTCAGAATGACCATGGTGCAACAACTCGGCCACGCTCACGAGTTTACAGAGATCTTGACCGGCGTCTCAACCGACTGAGACAACAACTTGAAAATGGAAGAAGATCGCCTATTCAGTTCCTGGACGCAGCAGGTCACTTACTGAAGCTTCAATAAACTCAGAAATCCATGAACTCATGTACATTGTACTAGTTAACAGCGAGGGCCATTTTGAGTATTGTATTATATTGTACTATGATTTGCTGTGAATAAAAAATATGAAAGAAAAACTTTTTTTTTATTTTAATGCAAAAAGCTACTAATCAAATTAAAGGAAAACTAAGGGAGATTCCATTTATATCTAAAGGGGGTACACTTATTACTCATGCATAAAATAACAGTCACCAGACCATGAATTGTTGTTTTAAGACTGTAGGTGAAATGGGATGTAGGCGAAATGGGAACATGCCATGGTTAGTACAGGTGGTGTAGGTGTGGCTAGATGGGGAGGTGGAGGTCACTGCTAGGATAGGCTTGAAGTTTGTATTCAGTGTTAGATACTGAAAATTGGTCAATGAATTGCCAAACTGGTCTGTTTTTCTAATGATTATCAGAACATCAATGAGGTGGCATCAGTCTAATTGTTGAATGAAAAAAAATGTGCTTTAAAACATACATCTGTTTCAGAGAAGTCAATATTGATATCTTGATTATACTTTTTCCTTTCTTCTTTCATTCTTTAGAAACATAATCTGTTCAGAGAAATAAATACTAATATCTTAAGTTCATCTTCGTCTTTTGTTGTCATTCATAACCAAGGCAATATCAAGTCAGGTGACACCAGAGTTCACATATTGTACCCATGTGGAAACTGAACCTGGGTCCTGGTGTGACCAGGAAATACTTCACCCACCAGGCTACCCGTCTGCCCTACCCAAGGCATGTGTGGGCTGAGACAGTGGAAAATGTGATGGCATATAACAAACGTGTGTTCTGAATCCTGTTCTAATCCTTTCTTTGGTCCTGTATTAACAAGAACTGTTTGTTGTATAACACAGCACTGTGTAAACCACTTCCGATCAGGCAATCAGGTCATCAAGGTTACGAGCAAAGAGAGTCAGGTACAACACCATCAAAAAAACAAAATCACTGAGTCTGGCCACCTGATCCGGGGAGTTCCTCGTGCACAGGCACCTGGGGACCTAATCTAACAGGAACTGGGTGGTGACTTTCTGGACACCCATCAAGACAAGTGGAGAACAAGTTGTGCACCACATAGTGTTGATTCTGAAGAGACCATAAATCTATCAAAACTATTATTTGAGATGAAAATGTTTGAGTTTCTGAGATGACTATTTTCACTGGAAGCCTTTTGCTGTACATGCTAGGCATGAGATATTTATATTATTCATTAGTATAATTTCTAGGTGTGTTATACAAACAGTCCTTCTAGCCTAAATTACATTAACATCAAAATCATATACATTTTGGAACTACATGTGTACACAATTACAGATGTAAAATTAGTAAATTGAATTGAGCACACATGCATGTGTATGTTGCTTGATAAACTCTATGACTTACAGGTACAGTTGCTGAAAAACAAACTGTCACAATGATCACAACCTGATTCTGCATAATACTTGAAGCAGGTAACAGCAGGGGTGATATGTTGATTGGCCAGTCTGATGTGAGTTTGCCCACTCCAGTCTTCTGTTCAGCCCTTGCACATTGAACTTTCATGGTCTATATATATTTACACAGATCTGTCCTAAGTTTGTTTATAGCAGTATAGAATCATGTTCCATTTATCAGGACCAAGTTCAAAGAGCTTGGTTAGAACTGGTCTTCCACAAACCTTGCTTGTCGAAAGAGGCAACTCTCACGATTAAGTAGTCAGGCTCATTAACTTGGTTGATGCATGTCATCATAGATGCATAGATTATCTCCTTTGATGTCAATCACGGGATTGTCTGGTCTAGACTTGCTAAGCTACAGATTACCATCATACAGCTCTAAACTTGCTGAGTATGGCTTTGAGGTACAACTTTTGTTTCGATTGGGCACACAATATGATTCAGCCCTGGCAGGTGTGGTCCAGTGACACATTATTAATGTCGTAACATCCTAAACAAAATCAAAACAATTGTATTGATTTTGTCATTACATTTATTCTCATTTCAGTTCAGAGTGTATATAATATGCTTCAAATTATGGCGGAAAATCTTCAAGCAATATGTACATAATTATGTCAATCAACATGTACAAATGTTCACCTTCAAAAATGGCCATTGTCAATTTAAATATATATATATATATTCTTACGCTTTCAAAATTTTGTGGTTCTCATCTAATTGCATATGAGTATGTTACAGTAAGGATATGAAGCTCGGATTTCAAGAAATTAAAGTAACTTCAGGAATTTAGAATTTTGGTCAAGTGTTTCAGGATTACCAAAACTATACACTTAAGTTAAACCATGAAGCCATCAAGAATAGTTGATGGAAAGCTGGTTACAAGTAGTGTATTTAACACTACATGAGCACTGTATTCACAAAAAATAGCATTCAAAAGCATTTCCTCAATGTTGTATCAGTAATTTCATGATCAAATCCTAAATAATAATTTTGTAAATTTCATGAAAACCTTATTTTCACTCTTGCTGTAACATCCACACTAAACATAATATACATCATATACACAGATAGACAGGAATGTGTTACATAACCTACTTCGCTACAGGTTTGTGCCAGTATGCTTCCACATGTAGATCAATATAGAACATGTATCTACAGCTTTGAGCTTCAGTATCACAACCTGAAGGACACAATGGAAATACTCAGGCTATATATAAGTTAAACCCTGTTAATCCGGACATAAGCATTCCAAATAAAACCATCCAGATTAATGTACATGTCATTTTACATACATGTCCGAGACCCAAGCAGTATTTATTCAGGTGGGTTAGCCAGATTAACAGGGTCTGTACAACCAAGGTTCGGAATACATCCCCAGCACCCCATACATGACTATCATCCTGCCATGACAAAATTACCCACTTGCACCAAAAATGTTCATCTTCATTCTGTTCACAAGATCTGTTGTACGTATTTAAAGATGGCGCATGAAACACAAGGTTTCAATGTGGAATGTCTACATATATTTGTTGCGCCTAGCTGGTTGGGGGATATGATTAATATAATCATTACTATGATATCTATAACCATGGTAATTGTCAGTAAATACCAACATACATGCTTGAAACAATAGCTTACACAGTTAAACCTAGCTACTCTAGATGATGATTCCAAATGAAATCTTCAAAATGAAAGTCTTCAAGCTCAGCACCAACTGTCATATTTCTATTCAGCCATCAGATTTTCCAGATTCGTGGAATTTGTTTGAAAAGATAGACTGAAACGTTACTGTTACTGAAAAGTCCCAATATCATGCAATGAAGTGCTAGTGCAGCTGTGCAATATGCAATTTGCCTAAGCTTGCAGTATTATAAGATGAAGTTGGTATGCAATAAAACATTTCATGGCATCCAGCATACCACACTGCAGCATCCTAAACACCACTTTAGAGGGCACAACATCCAGCACATCAAATTCCCTACAGAATCATGAATTTAAAATATGATTGCAAGCTTGAACATAAACGTACTATGACTTAAAGTAGCATTAATGTTGTTCATGATTTGCTCTTACATCTTACTCTAGCAACAGTAACAAAACATCAACCAATGATAGTAACACTAAACAAACAACAGCTACTATAACTGTCAGCTGGTGACATTCAGGCAAGTATACTGCATGTATGACACACTACAACTGCATATGTCTATGCATAACTTAAGACAAGTATTCTGTTATGTCGCTTTTAGCAATATTCCACCAATATCACAACAGGGACACCAGAAATGGGCTTCACACATTGTACCCATGTGGGGAATCGAACCTGGGTCATCTGCATGATGAGTGAATGCTTGTGACCACTAGGCTACCCCAGCACAACGACATACCTCAGTGTTGGTAGTCAGTACTGATACTCATTGCTCAACCATGTCTGCAGTAGGGAGGAAAGCACAAAGTAATGGATGTCTTGGATGTGGAAACCAACCAGCACAGGTATGATGCTGACAATGAAACCCAGAAATATGCATATAAAACACTAACAAATATAACTCGCACATGCTAGGAATGATAACATCCTGTTGCCGTGACAAATACATGACAGAATATTAATAATATATTTAACTTTAGTTTGTGACTATAGTCTTGAACAGTTTGTGTATAAGAAATTTTAAAAAGTTAAACTGGCCACAAGTTTTTCTCTTCATTGGCAGAAATATATGGTATCTAATCTGTGTGATGTTTATGGGGTCATTTCTATCACCTTCCCTCTCCCAAGCGTGTTTAAAATCTGCATGATATTCAATGCAGTGAGGCCTAATGGGAATTCCCCTACAACCACAGCTGTAACATAAGACTGTACCTCACATGATGATCCCCGTCAGAAATCTGTAATCTGTAATGGTCAGATGACAACTCAGGTGTATTGTACTTTGTCTTCTTGACTTAAATATTTTGGATCATAATTTGAATGCATTAATTCTTAATAGTTTTATCACAAAGCACAAATGTACATACATATTCATGGAATAAACATACATTATAGATCATCTCCCCTTGCGAGTGCTGACACAGCAATATCCGCTTCCTATGATTCACAGAGATGCCAACCACTCCAATTTTGGTGGAGTTTCTCCGATTTTCAAATACAAAATCTGCTCACCCATTTCTCTTTAAAAAACTCCAATTTTTTATAAAACATTCTGAATGTATTTTTACGGTATACAAAAACCTATGATTGTGGGATTGGATCCCAGTCTGCTCTTCTGGTTCTGAGTTTGTCAGTGCTATATCCATGCTCACTGATTCCATCAACCTGATGACTTGTGAGACTGGCATCACCTCCGGCTTTGCTTGGTCCCTAGTGGACATGCTGTGATATAACTGGAATACTAATCAAAGAGCGTTAAACCCAACTCACTCACTTTAACCATTGTTAACATCAGGCTTTTTCTTCTCAGGCTTTAACACAAGATGTTAATATTACAGTCAAAATTCTAGTCATGTAATACGGATTTCATTAAAGTATTTACAGCTCACAACTAAAATATAGCAAGCTAGCAAAACTCTACCAGAACTTGGTAACTTCAAGTATTATGGACAAGAATACACTCTTGCAAAACGACTGCAATCTGATTGGTGGAAAAACCAAGGAATTTTGTAAAATCCAGAAACCTTGACTGATTATGACATATGAATATTATCATTAAGAATACTCTTGATAAACATTTTCTTCTCGGTGGTAGTATGTGCAAGCATGATATCTGACTGATAAACATATGTTTTATTCATCAATATGAATATATGAACCTGACAAACTCAGATACTCCTGTGCTCTGGTGTACTAGGTGGTTCATATGTCTCTAACTTGGATGTCAATGGCATACAAAATGACATGAAATTGTTTCGTTGTTAGTAGTGTATATACACACAGAGTGCAACTCAACCATGATCAAGATGTTCTGGGATTATATAGTTGCATGTCCTAAAAGATTTGTGAATCAAATATTCAGTAACACCTGTAAAATGAAGACGAATAGTGCATCAACTAAATGAAAGATAGTTCCCTACCACTAGCCACTGACCATGAGAACATATCTCATTCAGAACACTGGTACTAATGAACTGATAAATCTAAGCTCATTTTAGCCAATACCTGTTTGGAAGTGCCCTTCTAATGCATTATTAGATATACACTTCCCTCAATGTAAAATATAACTTTCAATCCTGAAAGGGTAATGAAGGTGTCACCATGGATATCGCCATATCTGTTATCCATTGTGTCATTTCTCACTTCTATAATGACCTTGATCTAAAGCTGAAGGAAATATATACTGAAATAGAAACTGAGAGTACCATGTCATGGGTATACCCAGGATTGTTAAACAAAATAACCCTTCTTGAACAAATGGTAGCTTTATATATTTGGATGGTCCAAAGAATTTGTGTTGGCAAGATTTATTGGTATTTCTGTGATAAAACATAATATAAGTTCAGCAGACACTTCAGATATTGAAGGCACCAAATCAGTAACATTATACAAAATCAAGGCCATGTTTTTCAAATCATCCTGTTTTGATTGTCGATTGTTACAGCGGCACATCTTGCTGAATGAGCCCAATTACAAAATAAAAATCATCACACCATCATTAGAATTAAACATAAGTCATTCAATGAAAAACTTGAATTACAATCTCAGAAAAAGATAATTTACAAGCCTGATTGTATTTGAATAAAGTTTTCCCATATTCCAATTTTTCACAAGATACACAAACTCATGGATGTCCTTTACAAATGCTTGTTAAAGGTACGAAAAAACTGATAAGCTGTATTTGAATGAAGTTACTAGTTTTACCAGATTTATACACTTTTACATTTACAAAATACACAAAGAGCTGAACATCCTTTGAAATACTTGTTAAGGAGTGAACATGATATCATTAATAAAGTGTAGAAATCATTCCAGGAGGTATGGGGTTTGTGAGTGATGAGCAAGGGAGATAATTCTATGGTTTGACAACTTCATTACTACAAAAAGAATTATCTCCCTTGAGCTTTTCTTCATTGCATGTACAGTGTCAAGGCATGAAACAAGCCTTGGTTATATCTGTGGAGACATAGGCACTTGCAAATGGCTGTGTGGCAGGGTGGCCTGTCCTGACACAGCTCTGGTCAACAGAGTGTGGTTTCTTGAAGATTATACACAACGGATGGGGTAGTCTAGTGGTTCAAACCCTGCTCATGACATCTGTTTCCAGTTTCATGAAACAATGAGCACACACAATTCTTGTTCAGACATCACATTGCTCACTTCGACTTGTTAGCTACACCTCAATCATCTGCGTTGGTGTAGTCATAGTCGATGGTGCTGTTCTGGACGTAGTCTGTGATCGGGTTCCAGAGGAGAGTATGATAGGCCTTGGTGGGTGGTCCATGTGAGAATGGGAAGGAGGACGTGAGAACACAGGACTTCAGGAGTGCTGGAGTCTTCTGCTTCTCCTCTACACTGAAGATGAGTTCACTCTTGGGTCGTTGCGACCTCTGGGAATCCCGCTGAAGGAACTTCAGCCGATGATGGAGACAGATGACTTCCTCCACCAACACACACTGTTGCAGGTATCTAGATGGGTTTCCACCACCAATAATCTGTGCAGGGATATTCCAACGAATGTAGCACTGTTTCCAGAGTTTGACAACCAAAGGTGTGAAAAGTGGATACAGGATACCTTTGACATCGGGGAAGAACCTTTCTTCCTCTAGATACAAATCTGTCAGTTTCATCTTGTACATCTCATCCCGAAGACTCTCACCAGTTTCTGTTAAAGTCTTTTTTGCATTGCAGACTACTTCGTTCAAATCAAACTTGTTTCTCATAATATACAGTGGATTGTTGAAGAGACTAAGATCGATGTCGCCAAGCTGAAACTGCCAGTCCCAAACACTGGGCAAGCGGACGAGAGCCATGCGACGGCCTTCCATCATGAACTTGCGCCGTTGGTGACAGTTGTTGAACAGAAACGTGTCAAACAGACCCTGATGAACGCTGTCCCAAATAGTGGTCAGGTAGGTCTCGGTGAAGGCGAAGGAGGATGGGTATTGCAGCAGCAGCTGCCACGTACAGTCCAGGAACAGCAGGAAGATAGGGGCCTGCAACATGGCAACAATGGTAATTAATACATATATATGAGGCCTGCTTGGAATATTCATGGATTTGTATCAAAACAAAGTGGTAACTGGTCAAAATGAAAATAAACCTATTCTGAAAGTTATTTCTGTTAATATTGTTGGGTGAAATAGGATTAGAGCTCACCTGAATTGGGTTTTTTGGCAACATTTTATCAAATAGCTAGTAAAGGGCACCGAAGAATAGGCCAATACATATGCCAGTAACAACCGATTTGACATAACGGCCATAAATCAATACAATAAAGACATAAATGTCTGTGAAGGAGTGAGTGAGTCTATTTAGTATTACGCCTCACTCAGCAATATTCCAGTTATATGGCGGTTGTCTGTAAATAATCAAGTCTGGACCAGACAATCAACAGCATCTACCCACCTGGAATACGATGACATGTCAACCAAGTCAGCGAGCCTGACCGCCCTAATACCGTTAGTTGCCTCTTACGACAAGCATGGGTTGTTGAAGATCAATTCTAACCCAGATCTTCACGGGTGATGAACAGAAGGAAGATGGGGCGCATACAAGACATAAATAGAATGAGAAAGGGCCAAGCCACTTAAACTTAAATATGGAAGACATTTCACAAAATATTATTCAACAGTAATACTAATGAAGTTCTACACATTTTATCACATCAATAACTGTCTGATCTATGGGACAAGGGAAATCTCTCATCCCTAAAATGGAATGAACTGCCCACCCTTTCAGTTTCATTTTCCTGGGTAAGTCCATGTCTCTTCTGGAAGGGGTGTCCCATGGCCACCCACTCCTTCTGTATGAGTGACTGGAAACCAACCATGGTTCGACAGTGGGGATCAAGGCACATTTGAACCAATGAGGCCACAATACATGAGAAGTCACAACCTGTCTCCTCTGAAATCGAAACAGAAAAATTTGGTTACATGTTTGATGTTTAGTTCCCTCACTGGGAACCCAGCTATATGATGATGGGATGTAAATAATCTATTCTGGACCAGACAATCCAGTGAATGTTAATCAGAACACCAAGGATCAATGGAACAATAAGGATCAAAGCAATTGAGCTTCAAACTGCAATCATCAATAATACTGTTACATCATGGAGTCCTGAACATCATCAAGTGTGCACCAGATCTGCCACCAGTTGAAAGCACGAAATAAAGATACGTCATGATGACACCCAATCAGCTTGTTCCCACACCTAAGCCACATGATACCAATTTCATCAGTCTTATGGCAAATATGGGGTATATCTCCGAACCGGATCAAGTACATCCTGGCATGGCAAAGGGACATAACTGAAACAACTAGGCTTCTCAGGCCTTCAGAATTCTAATCCTGGATCACGTTGATCCACAGTCCTGCTTGAGGTACCTGCAATGATGATGGTCCGCTTGTCCTTTTCTATGCTGACAACAATGCTGAAGGTGATCTGTAGACACTTGCAGACTGCCTGGAGCCACTGTGTGCTGTCTAGGTTGGAGTACCAGGCCAGGTCTGTACTGATGTACTCCTTCACAGAATCTACAACACCACACCATCCATGTTACCAGGAACACATACCGTAAGTCACATTCACACCATCACAAGGAAGGCTTGATGTGCCTTTTCCATTCCCATTAGATAAAAACTTTTAGTGCTTCTCCATGAACCATTCTTATTCCTTGGATCCCATGGTGTGTGTTTGTGCCCATGGCATTGTTTCCAAATGTCATAGATTTTGAGAATCTTGGCAAAACACAAACTATTATTAACAAAACTCTATTACAGGTTATTACAAAAGACATACTTCTGAATTTGGGAGGATAAGGATTGAAAGTTTTAAATAAGACAAACTACTGGAAACTGGAAGTGTGTCTTTATACCATAATGCCAGCCACAGACCCCTACTTCATCAGTGTGATTCTGTTTCTCTTAATTACAGAAATTAGAATGTTGGCTTGTAAACAACATAGCTACTTGTATCCTGGCTAACAGTCTTGCTGGAAAACTTAGAAGTTTGACTTTTAATGCTAATACTTGTTCAAAATGAATGAATGAATGAATGAATGAATGAATGAATGAATGAATGAATGAATGAATGAATGAATGAATGAATGAATGAATGAATGAATGAAACAAACACATTGCACATGATGAAGATCTACTTACCAGTCATGCAGCATTCTTTCAACTTCTCATAGCTCAGCTGGAGTTCTCGAAGGGAAGGGCACAATCTGGACAAATCAACTCTCTTGGGGTCATCTGTCTCATCGCAGGCCTGCTTTATTGCACTTAATATTCTGAAAGAGACACAAGTGAATTGTCAGGTCCCTGTTCTGTCCATTTTAGAAACACACCTGCTCTGTTTCTTGGTCATAGTGTTAGCATGTACTATGTGTCATGTGGCAGTAACTTACAACAGTCTTACAGGGCTATGGTTGCCTTGTGGTACTTAGTTCTGATCTGACACAGAATCCTGATGGGTATGATTTTATATGTTCACATTAATAGCTGCCTGGGCATACAAAACCCACAAAGGGGTGCATACAAAAGTTAAAACTGTTGTCATAAATTGAGCAGGTGCTAGCAATAAAAATTCAATCACCCATGAAACCTCTTCTGTGATAGTTATTTTTTAATAGTTAGATAGTTTTATATTATTTCTGTAAAACATCTGTAATATTTATGATTTTTTACAAGCGTCTTCATATGCATTACTTACAGATTGGTCCAGAATTGCTTATTGAAGCATGGTGCTCAATACAACGGTATCCTATATCCTGTACAAACAAGTGCTGACCATGGACATATCTGCCACAAAACCAATTGTGCTAATAAAATTACAGCCAGCATAAACAGGTTAATCAGATGTGTAAGAATAAAGAATCTAACAGAAATCTTACTTTTCATGGCCTTCTTTGGATATTGATTCTGGCGCCACATAAGACATTCGAACTAGACTGCTATTGTTTGGGTGGGTATAGCACCAGGTCTGAAAAGGAAAATCCATCAAATTCTATTACGATGATCATCTACCTGTTATGGTCTATATACAGATTTGTACAGAATTCGTTTCATTGATGGCACATGACAAAATAAGATGGCCTTATCAGATGAGGTGAGGTGAAATGGGGTTTAACGTCATGCTTAAGATTATTTCGCTCATATGGCAGCGTGCATGCATGTATATGAGTAGCTGCTTGTACTAGCCTTGCTGGTTTTATAGTGCTAGCTCACTGAGATACCATGCTGCAGTTAAGCATGAATACCCCACTCAGACACAGTATACTGACTCCGAGCCGACCAGTTCTTGTTGTACCCATTTATGCCGAGCACCAGGCAGGGACCAACAAGTACCCTATTTTAACTGGGATAAACTCGCGACCTTCCGATCTCCGGGCGGACGCTCTAACCACTACACCATGGAGGTAGTCCTGGCCTTATCAGCATGATTATAACTCTGCTGTCCCAAATACAAGAAGTACTGGTTGCTGCTGAATAGCTAATGATGAACCATCGCGTCAGATCTAGAGATCTGATTACAATGAGACTGTTAGCTTTGAACAGAAATATTGGAACATGGTGGAGGGAAATTGCATGAAAAATGGAAACCACACACGTTTTATTCAATTAAATAAAAGTAAATTTATTCATTCAATAATCAAAAGACATTTCTGCTATCGTGAACATGTGTTTCTGATTTACTACCAAACAGTGATGCAACCAGGTGTTTGAGAAGAGATAAGTACTTATTACTCACCCGTTGATGATATCACTGTTTAATAATTTTACAATGTTATTACACATTGTGTATATTACATCACGTGGTGCCGTACATATGACGTAAAACTGGTTTACAGTTATGACGTCACAATGCTAATACCTCTGTCACAATAGTATTAGACCTTGCTTGACGCGGAAAGCTAAGAGTCATCACACTCGTTGAGTTCTTAGGAAAGAAGTACTTTGCTCAATATTATTTTGCTAATGTTGGGTGAGTAATAAATAAAATACTAAACTATGTCCTGTGTAATACCATATTTATGTAATGAGTGAATTGTTTGGTATCTAAGCGAAAGCTCGTTCGATACCAATACCATTCACTTGTTTCATAAATATGGTATTACACGGCACATCGTTTAGTATTCTCTATATCTTGCACCAATGGCCACACATGTTTCATAAAGATGGAAACACACATAGGGATTTTTTTTATCAGAACATGTGAACAATCAAACGATTAAATGAAGTTTCCCTCAGCAATCAATGTGGCCACAAGACCACATTTCAAGCCATTACACTTCATTAGTGGTAATCCTATGCTTCACAACAGACAATGAAGATACCATCACTTACCGGTAGCCTGTAATCATTGTAGATAACAGCTAACTTCACCAAGTCTGTGTTGAACAAATAAACTGGCACAACAAAGAACTCTGGCATGCTGAAACAGAAACACATCCATCAAAGTCAGTACTGGACCACACAAGTCAGCATGTGGTAGGAATACCAGATATGTACCATACTCTTCACACACACATATTATAAGCAACAACCTTGTTGGTGTATTCTGGAATAGCTGGAATAGCATGTTCAAAGGATATTGGTAACATGGGGTTGATCCAGCTGTGGTAAATACAATCTCAAAATAAAGGACTCTTTGTGACCCAATGTTAGCACAGCAAGATACGTCCAAGAGCCTAGTGCAATAAGTGGGTGAGTGAGTGAGTGAATGAGTGAGTGAGTGAGCGAGCCTAGTGCAATAAGTGGGTGAATGGGTGAGTGAGTGAGTGAGTCTAGTGCAATAAGTGGGTGGGTGAGTGAGTGAGTGAGTTGATTCACATCACCTTTAGCAATACTACAGCAATATCAGGGCGGGGGACACCATTATCAGCAATTTCAAAATATGAATCTTAGAGAAAATACACAGCAGCAGACTCTGATAATTGTTTCCTAGGGTTTTCCTGATGCTGTAAACATATTTTCAACTAATATTTGGCACAACAAGGTATATACAAAAAGTCTTAGATTTCCTTAAATATATGGTATTTAGTGCAGTGCTGCAGTCAGCAGGAACCCAGACATATCATGGCTGCCTGTAATGATCAAATCTGGATGACTTGGAGGTGAAGAACACCAATCTCATTCAAATATGATTTTAGTGCTCACTACATATAGATTAGAGTGAGTGAGTAAGTATGGTCTTAAGCGGCTTTTAGCACTAGAAATGGGCTTCACACTGTACCCAATAGATCAGAGAACATTCCATTACAAGTCACTTTGGAAAAGTTTTGATTCGTGGCAGCAAACAAAAAGTCTGATTTTAATGAGACTGGAATGAGCCTGACGGCACCAAGCAATGGGGGGCTACTCTGGAGACATGTGTATGAACTGACCTGGGGGCATTGCAGAACTCCGTGTTCATGTCCGCAACTCTCCAACGACCCATGGCATTGTGGCGTTTAATCTCATCCTCCCAGTCCTGTCTCTTGTAGAACAACCCGGGTCTCTAGTTTTTGTTCTGCAGGGGAGACAATCAGTTATGTTAATTCCACTCATTGTGGGAAGCCATTTAAGCATCAACACATTTACTATGGGCAGACGACAGACAGATGGTTGTTTCTTATGCTCCTGGATTATTTCAGATAAACCACTAAGTTCATCAGGTTGTTTAAACATTGTCAGGATTGTTAGAGAAGATTGAAAGAGGCGAGATGAGCCTATCATGCAGGTGATGTTTCCCATTCCCCAGTACTGTTTTCACTTAACCAGGGATTTAGGGACGCAAATTCCTGTGTCCTATACGCATAAAAATTTACAACGGGCGCAACAAAATGTGATTAGCGTGTCCACAGGGACGCAGAAAATGAACAAATACTTTTTGTAAAACTTTTCATCAAGTAACAATAAATTATCACTGAGTGTGCTACTAGCTGGGTTATGGTATCATTTACAATTTAATTCTGTAACAATGTGATGATCATGATACACAATTCAATAACAGTAACTGAATTACAACAATATTACAACATAGTATTAATGATAATGTTTAAGTGCCTGGGACCCCCATTTTGTAGTCCAGGACCCCTGGAAATTAAGAGTGTGAGTCCCAAGGACCCTCAAATACAGGACTCAAGGTAAATCCCTGCATAACAAAGAGATATTGTTGGAAATACTGAACGTGTAATCTTTAATCACTCTCTGAGGAAATGCTGGATTAACACCATTTCGAATAGTATTGTATTTACAGATGGCTTGATGAGGGAGATAAACTATGATCTGCATCTTTTCATCATGAAAGATTCTGCTTCTTGTTACTCCAGCAATGCTTGTGAAAATGTACATCACATCCTATTAGAATGTGAACTGTACAACACTCAATGAAAGATATTAATGTTAAATTTGGAAAGTATTGTAAAATGTGATTCTCCAATCACATTGTCGTTAATGTTACTTAGAAGTCCAGATATGACTATTCAACAGAATGAATATGTTTTCAAATGTGTACAAACTTTGTTTTATCAATCAAAATGTTTTAGAGTGATAACATAAGTTGTGTCCCCTCCTCTCTATTCCTTCCTAAGATGTAGAATATTGAAAATGCATGTATGTAAATATCAAGGAGCAGGTAATTTAAGTCGGATAACATTTGTGAATAAAATATGTTTGAATCAAAATGAGGAAGTAAATGTTGGTTCTTGACATTAATCAAACCGGCACGCATGGGAATAGTGCTGATAGGACCTACAATCACAATCAGTGAGAAGCTGGGATTCAAACCCAAATCACAGGATCCTGGCACACATAGACCATGCCATTATGCAAGTCTGAACATGGAATTGTAACACATCTGATGACTGGGCTACTCATACTGTCCTACACTTAGCAACTGAAGCTGTTAGAAGATATTTCAGTCAGCAGCGTATAAAGCCACATTAGCAGTTTGCAGCTGTTCCTTGACACTAAAGAAGAATATACTGATCCCGACTTACCTGTAAACTTGCTGCTGTGGCCGTAGTCATACGCAAACAGAAGGTCAGATCGGGTTGGGTAGGAATGGTGGACGATGGCATTTATAGCCTGGAACACAAACATGAATATCATCAAAGTCGAAGCCTCTTAGAAGACTGCAATCATGTGTTTTTTCTTGATGTGGATAGCAGTTATTATAGCTAAAATACATGGAATTATCATGAAACGGCCCTCCCATTATCAGAAATTTGCGGGCCGCTGCAAATGATATTGGACCGCTCAACCTTAACGACAGGCCACTATCAGTTCTGTTGTCAAGTGACGTCATAGTGGGTGCGTGGGCTTACGGTTCATTCGACATTAATTGGCTTTCGACTGGCAGATATTCTGGGTCTAACAAGTCAAAGCAACCCGAATTCCCGCATTAAATAGCGGTAACATTGGCTTTCTTGTTGGTGCTAACCTTAACAATTGCACTATTAAGGCTGTTGATGGACCAAAAAACCGAACACTGACATAGTTTGACATGTTGCAGGCTATGGTCTTGTCAAAGGCCAAGGTCGAATATCGTCACTTTCTGTTGTGACGTCACTTGAATTGTTCGATGACGTAATTGCATTCGGGCAGTCAACCCGTCAGAAGTTGGTTTTGAGTAAACTTACAGTCAAATTCCTTCATTGTTTCCTTTTTCTTTTCAACACAAATTCCATGTATTTTAGCAATAATAACGGTAATGCTATTTTTGAGGGCATTATCATTTGCAGAAGCCCTCGGTCTTTTTCAACTGCCCTCCTTCGTCGGGCAGTTAATGGAAGACCTCAGGCTTCTGCAAATGATAATGCCCTCAAAAATAGCATTACCCTTATAATTCCACCTTGATGATAATAGTCTTTATAGCTAAAACACATGGAATTATCATGAAACGGCCCTCCTACTATCAGAAATTTGCGGGCCGCTGCAAATGATATTGGACCGCTCAACCTTAACGACGGGCCACTATCAGTTCTGTTGTCAAGTGTTGTAATAGTGGGTGCGTCGGTTCATTCGACATTGGCTTTGGACTGGCAGATATTCTGGGTCAAACAAGTCAAAGCAACCCGAATTCCCGCTATAAATAGCTGTAATATTGGCTTTCTTGCTGGTGCTAACCTTAACAATTGCACTATTAGCGTTGTTGTTGGACCAAAACCGACACTGACATAGTTTGACACGTAGCAGGCTATGGTCTTGTCAAAGGCCAAGGTCGAATATCGTCACTTTCTGTTGTGACGTCACTTGAATTGTTCGATGACGTAATTGCATTCGGGCAGTCAACCCCGTCAGAAGTTGGTTTTGAGTAAACTTACAGTCAAATTCCTTCATTGTTTCCTTTTTCTTTTCAACACAAATTCCATGTATTTTAGCAATAATAACGGTAATGCTATTTTTGAGCCCTCGGTCTTTTTCAACTGCACTCCTTCGTCGGGCAGTTAATGGAAGACCGCGGACTTCTGCAAATGATAATGCCCTCAAAAATAGCATTACCCTTATAGTATCTAATCAAGTCTGGACCAGACAATCCAGTATTTGACATGACAGGCGTTGGCCGACAACATCAGTGTACACTGTCAAAGATTGGCCAAGTCACCGAGTCTGACAACCTGATCCATTCAGTCAACTCTTATGACAGGCACTGGTTGCTGGGAGCCTACTTTAACTTGGGATCCCCACTGGCTACATACATGTATAACAGAATAATGACTGATTGACTCAACATCATCATCATGATGAATGAAAAGGATCCACCATAGTGCTCTGCTAGACACACTAACCAAAGGTCTCAACTACAATGGTGCTCTAAAGGGCACATTAAAGGATTCCATTAAAGGGATTCCCTGAAGGATTCAGTGATGGTTTCAATACGGCCTAATTTAAGGGTAACAACTTCTTCTATTTTGTGAGAGTGAGATTTTGGCACCAGAATCTGTAAAAGAAGTTGTTATCCATAAATTTGTAAGTATTGTACTTCCCAACTTCTAAATACCTGTGAAGATCCGGGTTAGAATTGGTCTTCAGCAACCCATGCTTGTCGTAATAGGCGACTAACAGGATCGGGTGATCAGGCTCACTGACTTGCTTGACACATGTCATTGCATAGATCAATGCTCATGCTGTTTATCACTAGATTGTCTGGTCCAGACTTGATTACTTACAGACTGCCGCTATTGCTGAGTGTGGTGTTAAACATCAAACCAACCAACCCAACTTCTGAAATACCACTCAAAGTAGTGACAGATTCATTAAGAGGTTCCACAAAAGGGATCCACCAAATGGATCCACTAAAAGTTTTGGACCATCTGGGTATTATTACTCACCGAAAAGCAATCTAAAAAAACCCTGAGAATATCAGTTCCAGCTCGCATACAATATGGACACATTCTTACCAGTTTGTTTTGATCTTTGGCGCAGAACTTGAAACCAAATGTATGTATTTGAAAGTCCTGCAAGAAAAGATTGGAGTATCTTGTTATTTGTAAACTGAAGGTGGAACCCTGTAAAGCAATCTTGTTTCAGTGTTTCTTTTTTTAAACAGATTAATTATTTGTGAAAATCAGAAACAGTATTGAAATAAACATTCAAAAAACACCAAGGCTTGAGCATGTGAGAAGGTTATGAGATGTGACCTTGACCTTCAGAGGAAACCATTATACAGGTAATCATGCTGCTGTTTCAGCTGATAGAATTGGTCTTCAGCAAACCCATGCTTGTCGTAATAGGCTTTTAATTAACAGGATCGGGTGATCAGGCTCACTGACTTGCTTGACACATGTCATTGCATAGATCAATGCTCATGCTGTTTATCACTAGATTGTCTGGTCCAGACTTGATTACTTACAGACTGCCGCTATTGCTGAGTGTGGTGTTAAACATCAAACCAACCAACCCAACTTCTGAAATACCACTCAAAGTAGTGACAGATTCATTAAGAGGTTCCACAAAGGGATCCACCCAAATGGATCCACTAAAAGTTTTGGACCATCTGGGTATTATTACTCACCTGAAAAGCAATCTAAAAACCCTGAAAATATCAGTTCCAGCTGCATACAATATGGACACATTCTTACCAGTTTGTTTTGATCTTTGGCGCAGAACTTGAAACCGAATGTATGTATTTGAAAGTCCTGCAAGAAAAGATTGGAGTATCTTGTTATTTGTAAACTGAAGGTGCAACCCTGTAAACACATATCAAGAGTCTCTGAAAGCAATCTTGTTTCAGTGTTTCTTTTTTTAAACAGATTAATTATTTGTGAATATCAGAAACAGTATTGAAATAAACATTCCAAAACACCAAGGCTTGAGCATGTGAGAAGGTTATGAGATGTGACCTTGACCTTCAGAGGAAACCATTATACAGGTAATCATGCTGCTGTTTCAGCTGACCTTGCAGTGTATCTCCAGGTACTTTGTAGGATTAGACACAGATGTTGCTGGCTGGAGCCTCCGCTTCTTGCCTCCAGACACAACTGACAACAGAAGCAGTACACAATATATCAAACACCAAAACGGTCATTGAAATCACAATTTCTAATCATGTGATCAAGATATGTAAGTTACAGTCAAACACCACTGCATTTATATATATACTAATCATGACAAATTAACTGTCATTATATGCAAAACATTAGTGTTTTTTAACTTAGCTTGAGTAGTATATATTGACAACATTTGACAAGATGGAAATTTACCAAGTATACTTAACCTCACTAAAGTTTTCATTTTGTCAGAGTGTACATGAAATGACTAATGTCTCACTTTGGTAAATACTGTCGACTTTTGTCAGTGGAATGTCATCGTCACCCAACACTTTGTTGAGCTGCTTCCTTCCACCCTGTAACATAATATCACCTGGTTAGATGTTGAAAGTCTCATTCTAGTGTTATAATTCAAGGATTTAATGAACTATTTCATTATCAACATTTAATAGTTTAAACTTAAGTAAAACTGACATAATAAATAAAAATGATCTATTTATTTCATGAAACGTATATATGCACACGTTTTTAAAGGATATATATGTCTTGTTCATTGAATTTGTTTATGTTGTGTTATAGACAAAACAATGGCATATAATCATTGGCCAGGTGCGCATTTGTCACAAATGTTTTGAGTATCATTGTTTTCGATAATTCCGTGAACAAAACACCACGAAAATCTAGTGTCCTTATTCACAGCAAATTCTCTCCAAGTGATCTGAGTTACAATGACTTAGTATTAAGCATAGCGGAGTGTTGCCCCATTATCTTTATAAGAGTATGACCTTTATGTAGCCATTTGACGTCATAGGGAAAAATCCATTTTAAACACATATTGCGAGTCATTTTGAAGATTGAGTGTATAACGTTATACATAAGCACACAAACTAATTTAATACATTACTTTACATTACATTACGTTATGTGACGGTACTAACATTTGTATAGCGCCGATATCCAGCTCAAATTACATTAGTTTTTCCCTCGTTCACTGGATCAATCTCAATCTCAACCCTGGGGAGCATACAATTCTTGCAGCCACTAGGCGCACCAAGTTATTGTGGCATTCCCATCCTTACGAGGTACCCATTGACAGCTGGGTGGACTGGGACACATACATACCTATGTCGTTCAGGTATCAGGCAGAATTTTGTTCGCTCACACTTTCCGTAAAGATGCCAAATTGAAAATATAGTAGCACAGTACTTTTATCAGTGCACGATAAAAAGCAGAGAAATTTACTGTTTTTAAGGGGTAACATTTAGCAGTGTCTACTTTTCAAACTGAGTTTATACCATGAGATACCATTTCTGTGTAATTTTTTAGCTGTAAGCAGATCCAGTGCTGCGCAAACGAAATTCTGGCGCAATGTTCACTTTTCCAGGAAGTTAATGATGTGCTAATGACAAAACGACGTCATTAAAACGTTAGTACAACAGAATTTAATGACACATAACTTAATGAACGTTTAATGTCTCATTAATGCTTCATTAAAATTTGATACAACGGGGTCCAGACAATTTTGTTACATTACTATAGATATTATCATTGAATGACAGATTAACTGACCCGTGAAGGTCCGGGTTAGAATACTGATCTTTAGTAACCCATGCTTGTCGTAAGAGGCGACTAACGGGATCAGGTAGTCAGGCTCGCTGACTTGGTTGACACATCATCGGTTCCCAATTGCGTAGATCGATGCTCATGCTGTTGATCACTGGAAGACTTGATTATTTACAGACCGCTGCCATATAGCTTGAATATTGCTGAGGGCGGCATAAAACTAAACTCACTCACTGACTCACAGATTAACCTTTATAATATGAAAAAAATATAGTTGTCATGAACTTCAGTTGAGTAGTATATATTTTGACAACCCCAGACTCTGTCCCTATATTTTGATACAACATGTTAAGCAAGAAACTTGTGGGTCAAGATAAGACTGAAATGGAGAAGTGCCTCAGTCCCAAGTGTCCTGGACCAGGCAGTTAACAATCATGAGAAAGTTAATGAGAAGAGATGATCATCTCCAGCCTAGAGCACTTGAGGTAAGATAAGAACACTAGTGGAGGGCAAAGGTTATCTACAAGCTGATAACAGGGCAGAGGTCTCATGACCATGTTCACACGCCTTCCTACTGCAATCATCTTTACTCAAAAGAAACAGTTTGTTCTCTCTTACAAAACAACAAACAATTTTGATCAACTTGATTTTTGGTTTTCTAACTTAAAGAATGCCACATACGATAAATGATTGAACTATGAAATGTTCAAACCCTTAAGGTAATTCTGATTGTGTAAAGACACACTCATAACATATGTTATGTTTGGAATTACACTTTCTCAGTGAAGTACAGATTTGTTTGACCCCCTTCTAAAAGGCAGACCGTGAAGATCTCGATTAGAATTGGTCTTCAGTAACCCATTATTGGGTTAGGCGACTAATCGGGTGGTAAGGCTCGCTGACTTGGTTAACACACGTCATTGGTTCCCATTTGCGTAGATCGATGTTCATGCTGTTGATCACTGGATTGTCTGGTCCATACTTGACAATTTACAGACCGCCATATAGCTGGAATATTGCTGAGTGCGGCATAAAACTAAACTCATTCACTCTAAAAGGCATTTTGTGTTCATAAAGTGAGTGAGTGAGTGAGTATTCATAAAGACACAGTGATGAATATTCTAAATTGTATAGTACTGCTCTATATTAATGAACCCTTTGATGGAATGTGTAGCTTCTTATACATATTATGTCCAGTCTATGTGATCACATTTCAACTAACTGACTTATTAATGCAATAGTTGGTACCTTGGACTTGAACTCATAATGACTGATAACAGTGTCATATTCCTACATTGCTTCGTTCATCGATACCTACATTCCTAACCACTGCCATCTGAGACTTCATCTGAAGTACCTCTACTGTGAGTAAATCAACACCAGAAATGGGCTTCACAAATTGTACCCATGTAGGGTAAAGAATTTTTTTTTTTTAAATAACTAAAAAGGAATGGGGTGGTTCCCAACTAAAAAGGAATGGGGTGGTCCCTAACTAAAAAGGAATGGGGTGGTCCCAACTAAATAGGAATGGGGTGGTCCCTAACTAAAAAGGAATGGGGTGGTCCCTAACTAAAAAGGAATGGGGTGGTTCCCAACTAAAAAGGAATGGGGTGGTTCCCAACTAAAAAGGAATGGGGTGGTCCCCAACTAAAAAGGAATGGGGTGGTTCCCAACTGAAAAGGAATGGGGTGCTTCCCAACTAAAAAGGAATGGGGTGCTTCCCAACTAAAAAGGAATGGGGTGGTTCCCAACTAAAAAGGAATGGGGTGGTCCCTAATTAAAAAGGAATGGGGTGGTACACAACTAAATAGGAATGGGGTGGTCCCTAACTAAAAGGAATGGGGTGGTCCCTAACTAAAAGGAATGGGGTGGTTCCCAACTAAAAGGAATGGGGTGGTTCCCAACTAAAAGGAATGGGGTGGTTCCTAACTAAAGGAATGGGGTGGTCCCCTAACTAAAAGGAATGGGGTGGTTCCCAACTAAAAAGGAATGGGGTGGTCCCTAACTAAAAAGGAATGGGGTGGTTCCCAACTAAAAAGGAATGGGGTGGTTCCCAACTAAAAAGGAATGGGGTGGTCCCTAATTAAAAAGGAATGGGGTGGTACCCAACTAAATAGGAATGGGGTGGTCCCTAACTAAAAAGGAATGGGGTGGTCCCCAACTAAAAAGGAATGGGGTGGTTCCCAACTGAAAAGGAATGGGGTGGTTCCCAACTAAAAAGGAATGGGGTGGTTCCCAACTAAAAAGGAATGGGGTGGTCCCCAACTAAAAAGGAATGGGGTGGTCCCTAATTAAAAAGGAATGGGGTGGTACCCAACTAAAAAGGAATGGGGTGGTCCCTAACTAAAAAGGAATGGGGTGGTTCCCAACTAAAAAGGAATGGGGTGGTTCCCAACTGAAAAGGAATGGGGTGGTTCCCAACTAAAAAGGAATGGGGTGGTTCCCAACTAAAAAGGAATGGGGTGGTTCCTAACTAAAAAGGAATAGGTGGTTCCTGACTGAACGGGAGGGGGAGGGTTCCACTGTATCATTGTACCAGATAATATAATTCCCTGTTGATGCTATCAAACACTGGTTTGTCATCTCTGGACAGGCTCCATGTAATAATATCAAAAGAATATCAATATGTGAACCTTCATTTCATAACATTTGAAACTCAAGTGCCATATGATCACCATTAGAACCCTAGACAGACAATACTGGTTGACTGGTTTCACCGAGGAAAAGTTGTATGCTAAACACATGTTAATGACAGGCAGTTTAAATCAGGAAGCAAAATGGCAATTATTACAATAACACCTAAACATCATCTCAAATCACAATAAGATAAATATGTTCATCCTCGTCCTCATTTCCTTCAACTTCCGTCACCGGACACCTGACACAATCCCATCCTTGATGCCATGTGCCCATTGTGAAACATCAGCATCCCTCACACAGCACACACTTTCCTATACTACTTTTGATGGATCATTTACTTTCCTGAAACCAGGAAAGAGACACTACAAATTTATACTATGCTTTGAGGAACGGGGCCCAGTAAAAATTTATACTATGCCTTTTCTACTTATTTTGGGATCATTTTTTAAAATCTTAAGTCTGACCAGTTAGTAAATAGTTCTTGCCAAAGACAACATCCTGTTATATCATGCATGTAATTTCTATTACCTTTGCATATTTTCATTTGAAAGGTGCAATATTTATAAAAAGAATTATAATAAAAACGTGTATTTGGAAATGTAAAAAATACACCAAATAATCCCCTTGTTCAAATATAAGAGAAGACACGTAGGATTATCAATGACTAGTATAAGTCTACAAAAATCCTATCAGGATGCACTTCTGTCATATACTTGCTTATAGTTTGTCACTGCTCCCCAAAATTAGATTTGACAACCTAATTTAACACGTTTTTAAAAAAATGTGTAACCTAAATAACCTAAATCAATAGTGTCCTCAAGTTAAAGACTCTTAAGAACATCTGTTGTTTTCTCGATTATAGCATGAACAATTGTAAAACATGTCACTAACATCTTAAAGACTACTTTGTCTTCAACACAAGTCATCATCCTAGTGTGTACAATGTCTGTGTGACACAACCCATCTCATTATAGTAACGCTGGTGTCCGAAAGATCAAACCTTGTGAAGATCAAATTTAGTTGATACTGATGACACTAATATTGAGTGAGTGAGTGAGTGAGTGAGTGAGTGAGTGAGTGAGTGAGTGAGTGAGTGAGTGAGTGAGTGAGTGAGTGAGCACTCAGCAATATTCTAGCTATATGGTGGCGGTCTGTAAATAATCGAGTCTGGACCAGACAATCCAGTGATCAACAGCATGAGCATCGATCGTCGATGCAATTGGGATACGATTACATGTGTCAAAAAAGTCAGTGAGCCTCACCACCTGATCCCATTAGTCACCTCTTACGACAAGCATATGTTACTGAAGATCAATTCTAACCCAGACTTTCACGGTTCTTGATTAATGTAATACTGGAAATCACATAACATCTAATTTGTAAAACATGGGCAGTAAGACAATGGCTGGCTGAAAACTAGTACATAAAGTTGACCGGAAAGTTCTATTTCCACATTTTTGTTTAAAAAATCGACTCAGTATTTTTGCTCGGACTAAACATGCTAAAATATGTGAATTTCCCTTTAGTTTTACAAAATTGAAGTAAATGGTACAGCAAAATTTTTATTTAAAAATATTTCAGAAAAAAAACAGGATCAGTAAGATTGTTAGATTTTCATCCTGGTACCCTTACCTGAAACACCTGCATTGAAATCAGTTCAATAAAGAAAGTGAATGAGTGAGTGAGTATGGTTCTACAGCAATATTTCAGCAACATCACCGCGGGGGACACCAGAAATGGGCTTCACACATTGTACCTATGTGATGAATCGAACCTGGGTTTTCAGCGTGATGAGTGAACGCTTTAACAACAAGGCTACCCCACCCCGACTCAATAAAGAAAACATAAAAACTAATTTATTATGTATGAACAATAAAAAAAGGGGCATTTGATTGAAATAGGCTTCACATCCACTTAAACTTTGTGAGGGGGCTGTGGGTTAGCCTTGTGGTTAAAGCATACACTCGTCACACTGTAGATCCGGGTTCGATTCCCCACATGGGTACAATATGTGAAGCCCATTTCTGGTGTTCCCCACTGTGATATTGCTGGAATATTGCTGAAAGCAGCGTAAAACTTAACTCATTCACTCACTCAACTTTGTGTGAGCACAACCTACCCACAGCTTACCTCATTGTGACCATATGAAGATCGGTCTGCAGTCAAAAATGTGATCTTGAAGTTTGTAACAAACAAATGTCCAGACACACCCTGTTTTCTGTCAGAGAAGGGAACAAACTTCAGAACACCATCTGCTTTGGCTATCAACTTTTCTCCTGAAATTAAAGAAGAAGTTTTTAAAAAACTAAAATATACTCACTTTGGTTAGAAACCTGTCTCCATTGATGTCCATGATAGGTCATGCACTATAATAATATCCTGTGAGCATTTGACTCAAACAGCAGGAATCACAATCAGACATCTTCAAACAAATGGCATTTCAACATGTTCTGATGTTTTATCTGGAGAATATTACCTGGTAGCATGTGTGGCTCCAAAGACCCCTCAACGAAGAAGTTGTTGGCCTTTTTCTCAACTTCTTCCTGAAAAACAGAAACTATATACTGAAAAACACTAGAACAATTTAAGACTCCAGACTTAACTGAGAATTAATGTGTGGAGTCAGATCAGAGATTGAAGTAATAAAATTTATGTCTATTTAACTGATATTTCTCAAAACTGCCCCCTGCAAAACACATATCTTATGTTCCTGTAAGTGATCACAGTGGTTTCATTTCTGTGGAGGGGTGGGAAGATTTCTTGAACGAATAGTTTGCACAATCTTATAGCCACAATGAATAGTTTGACCACACTTCTGAAAAATGAATAATTTGTTTTGCAGAAATACCCAGATATAAACAAATGTATAAATGGTGAAAATGAATATATTCTCTGCTGATCCTCAGTACATAAAGAATTTGTTGGATACAGCAGAGAAAAAACAGATGCTCTATTAAACAAAATCCCAATTTCCATACAAATCAAAGGAATGCTTCACACAAACATATTTAATATCTGCTAATAAAATGTATGACAAAAATGTTATGTTACATCATGTTATTTTGTTACATTATAACAGCTCATTTTTGGTTAGGCTTCAGGTTCACAAACAGGTTGGTATATTAAGCCTCTAAGTATTGATACATCACAGGTTAGTGTTTTCATACACAACCCTGAAGCAGTGACCTTGAATCACATTCAGTAGTGTGTGATTATCAACTTCAGAAGCCTGCACTGGCTGCAGCTGTTATGGTGATCTTAACATCAATTTGTTAAACAGGAAGTTAACAGCTGTGTTGGTAGTCTACACATAACTCAACATTACATTACAAGCACATGTTAATGTTCCTCAGACAGCTGAGAAATGCAGCTGTGTATTATGACATCATATTGGTTTTTTGAAACATAACTCAAACTTCATGCTTATGTGTTAAAGGATGAAGTAGTGTTTGGTTATCAAATGACTTCACATGAACACTAATTGTTTTACATTTACTTTACAGATATATTTTCTGTAATAAATATTGAGGAAAGACGTGTTGCTACATAATAGATTCAGATGAAAGCATGTAGCTGAGATATAAGAGTGACTGTTAGCAGTGAAGGAAAGCTCAGTTTATAGGTGTGGATTAGTAAATATTCTTGTTTTAACACTTACTGAAATGTCTTCATTTCAATGACATGCCTGCCTTAAAGTTTACACCCACTCTGAATATTCAATATATTTTATGGAAGCAATGCTTAAAAACAAATCATCTTACAACTAAAATTTCTTTTGCACAAGTTCTGACTTTTTGTCATACCATGCCATTCATGGCAGTGTCACTATTACTCAAGCCTGTCTCTCTATGCCAGGAAACACACTGGTAATGACCATATTATACATAAGAGTCCTGATTATATTCATGTACCATAACATTCAAAATAAATACAACAGAAATTTTAAATCTTTTTTTTCTGAAGCAAATCAGTTTTGTCAAAAGTCTTAAGAAACAAGAACATTTTGTTACTGGCCTAACTTCAACAACATTTGTCTCTGACAAAAACTATTTTACCACTACAAGCCTATTTCCTTTAACATGCCTTCAAGTATGGCCCAACAGGATGTTAGTCGCTAGAGGTTGGAGAAACATTGGGCTGCATGTTCCTGTTTACAGTAACACCGTAAGCCGACATTCAAGAACTCAGGTCTCACATCAAGGATATAGTCTGTCAGACTCTGTAAACAAATATATCCGAGAAAGCCATGCAGGTCTGGAATATGTGGCAAGTCTAGATTACCACAGCTTCAGGAAAATGAAGAAAGTCTCTGGGCTCCTTTTCATTATATTTTATCATTAATTTTCATTAACAGTTTTTTTCTGTAAAATATGTTCATTTCAGAGACCAGATGTTTGTCTAATCAAGGATAGTGAGAGAGGTGACAATACAAGCTAGCAGGACACTAACAGCTGCAAAGTACTACTAGTATCACAACTACATAACATGAAGGGAAGGACTGTAGAGCATGCACTGGCATTTCTGAATCATAACCGTTTACTCCAATACATGATTCAAGTGAATTCAATTGTTGATAGTCTTAAGGCTCTCACAAAATATATATTTGACTTTCATGTCTGCATAGCTCACCTGATTCACATCATTGATCAAATACTAATTTCACAATGTTCTATTTTTGTCCACTTAGCAGCAGAATTCCAAATATACATTCAATATTCAGATTAGGTGATATTCATCTGGTCACGTCATCTATATATTCAGATTATACATTCAATATCCAGATTAGGTGATATTCATCGGGTCACATCATCTATATATTCAGAATATACATTTCAACATACAGAAGGTGATATTTGTTCAGTAACATGATTCAACATCTTCAGAAATTACAGTTCAATTTTCGCTGGGTGATATTTGTTGAGTAACAGGACTCTACAGACTTTAAAAACAATAGAATTATTATTTTCTTCCAGTCATCATATCGTTTCCAGGACAACCACTAGTTGATAAAAGAAAAACAAATATACAAATTGTTTGGGTACAGTGACAGACAATCACCCAGATGACATTTTTGAACCACCATATTCTCATGTTTGTTGACTCTTATGACAAGCCTGGGTGTGATTCTGCCCAGGTAACTCCATGGATGGTTGGAGAATTATACTCTTACAAAAAAGTAGTAGAGGAACTTCATTTTTAATTTACGATTAAACAAATTGAGAGATATATCAGAGTCAATCAATGTTGATATGATAATAATGAATGTTTTGAGAGGGAATCACCACTTGCACTTCTTAATGACCATACTTGTTTGTACAGTTATGAATGATGATTGGTGTATGAGGTGAGGTGACGTGAGGTGAAATTGGGTTTAACATCGTGCTTGAGAATACTTCCCTCATATGACGACGTGCAGGCGTGTGTATGTGTATCTGCGGCTGCTTGTCAGACACATTATACTGACTCCCGAGCCGACCAGGCCTTATTAATGCCGAGCACCAGGCAGGGACCAACAAGTACCATATTTAAACGTCTTTGGGTATGACGTGGTCGGGGATCGAACCCGCGACCTTCCGCTCTCCAGGCGGACGCTCTAACCACTACACCATGGAGGCGTGAAATTTGCAAGTGTATGATTTTCATTTTCAAACACAACAAATGGCTAGAAACAAACACTACCAACTGTGCGATGCAAGATGATTGTCAAAATTAATGGTCTACAGTGATTTATCGACCTTCTTGAAAACCATCAAAATCAAGAATGATACCCAATGGGCTAATGCGTTGTGTACGTGCATCCCATGCGTTGTGTTTAGGGGTGGTGATAAAGAGAAACGATGGTGCGTTCATAAGATGTCTTTGAAAAGTTTATTAATGCTTATACTTCATATCCAAATTGAAAGTCCAGATTCCCCTAACTTTTTTTTAAGAGTATATAATACCCAAACTGGGTGTGTTCTGAATCAGTGCTACTGGTACCATTGTAACAATGACAGTATGCTGCTCTGTTAAAATAGCTGCATGAGGTCGTAAAATAAAAAAACATGGTTAAACGACTAGTAGCTCTGAAATATTCCATACCTAATAAATATTTTCTTGCTAAATATTATGAAATACATTTTTCACTAAATAACAAAATGCAGAATTCAGTATGCAGAAAGATTATATTATATAAATGATTTTCTGAATACAATCACATGTGACAGAACCCTTCACTTGATGTCCTTTATTTGCCTTCAATAAGCCACTGATGTTAACACTCTTAGAGTATGACATCAGCAATGGCTCACCAGTTCACATCCTAAATGATGTCACATTTGAATACACACTGGACATGCTGGTCAGAGAGTGCAATGGACAGGTATTTACACTATCTCTACATTCAATCTGGAATGGTCTATATAGTTTACTCTGATATAAAATTCTTTACTAGATACTAAATGAAGGGATATAAGGTTCACATACATTCAGACAAGGAAGGGAGATAACTTTCAATTTTCTCTTGTGAAAACCAGTAACAAATAAAAGATTACTGCCACCAATGAGTGCATTATTTGTAATATCACAAAATATGTGATGAACATGTGCATTTTAAAAATAAAATAAAAATAAAAGCTTGACAAGAAAATCCTGTATTCTTTGAGTCGTCTGAGCTATCGTATACAAGCTCAACACCAGCTCTAATTGTGATAAAGTCGTTCTTAATGGTAGTAACACTAATGGTCGATTTGATATCATCAAGATAAGCTCATAATAGGCTACTTCCTGATTCAAAACACTCATTTACATTAACGTTACTGAAATATGTGACTTGAAAATATTCCATATTTTTTTGTCTTGCCATTCTCCACCCACACTTATAATTGGCCTGTCTCAAGTAGTTTGGACCAGCGTGCACTAAGGTGTTGATAAGTGTATCGACATCTGTATGAGGTTCACCTTCATGGTGTGGATTAGAGTCAACGGGAATGAACAAAAACACCGCAAACTGTTAAAAAACAGAAACTAACCAATAACACATACACCGAAACATTGACTGATGTGAGACATGTAAATTACAAACCTAATCATTTGTTTTGTGAAATTTTCCCTTCGAGTTGGAGACGTGTCTTTATTGTACATGGCCAACAGATCTGACAACTTTGAATTTGAACAATGACAAAAGTTATTATTCCAATTGAGTTTCACAAAAACAATGATGGTCAAAACTTTTTCAAACATGTAACATTGAATGTGTTAAACAGAGATTATGATCAATCAATCAATCATTTATTCTCAAATAACCACGGTTGGTGGTACAAGAGCGATTATTAATATTTTATATACAAAAACAAATGTAAAGATAAATAATGATATATATTATCATCTAATAGAGGGTGTTAACGGTGCAGCAAATCTGATGACTATGCAAATTAGGTCAATCCACGAACTACTTTCACAAAACTCCACACACACCGTGCGAATCTTAAAACGATATCAGCACATTTCATACTGATTTTACAAAACAAGTGTTAGATTTCCTGTATGTCCCCAAAGAGCTACA